AATCATTACCATGCACACAGCTTCGAAAGTGGACTTTTTGGTAACTGTCGAGTTAGTCGAATCCACCCAATTCAAAGACCTCCTCCACTATAGAGCAAATCGGCATTACCATATCGACCCATCTTCTAACTGACTACCATATTTGAACTGCCACCTCATAATCCAAGAAAACATGCTTAATATTATCCATATGATTAAGACACGAAGAACGCAAGGATGAATCCAAATCGATCCATTTTCTTTCCAAGTACTCTTTTGAAGGCAACCAATTCAATAAAGCTCTCCATATAAGAATGTTAACATTTATAGGCACAAAATCATTCCAACGTGTATGTCTACGACCATTAGGTAGAGTGAGGTCATCTATACGAGTTTTGGCCATACCGATACAAAAAGCTTCAACAATACCAAAATTCTAACACCAGTTACCATGCTCATGTGAAGGTATACGCATATCCAAAACCTCCATCGTATGATCGAATTACACCTTCTTGGATCCACCCCTCATAGGATGTCGCCATCTCCAATCCCAAATCCCAAGGGTGATTAAGTGTGTGTTTCTTGGTTACAATCTAGAGGTAAAAAGCTACAAGTTATGGTGTTCGGACCTAAAGAAGCTAATTTTATCAAGAGGTGTGACTTTTGATTAGGATGTTATTATTCAAGGCATCACTAACCCACCTACTACCATAGTTAAATCATTCGAATGGAATGAGAAGGAAACACAAGTAGAGGTGAAGTTACCATTCGAGGTGGAGATGTCAAACACTCCCATCATCTCACTTAATACTTCTTCACAAAACAAATAAGCTTCTTCTAGTGACCATGTGGGTTGTATTCCTCCTTCGTCCTTATCAACTTAAACTCCTTATCAATGCAGTAAAAGACATAGAACAAAAAGATAGGTTATACATCCTAAAAGGTATGCTCAAGAAAATTCTATTGTTTATACTCTTATTGTTGCTAATAAAATTGAGTGAACCTTAGAAACTATAAGGTATGATGATGCCTTAAATCCATAGATTTGAATGAATGGATGGCTGTTATGCACAACTTGATGGAGTCATTACCAAAAAAAAAATAACACATATGATCTCGTCCCAAATCCAAAAGTAGGGACAGAACCAGGGGTACCACTTGTAGCCAATGCTACTCCTTAAATTTTCAAGCATAAAATAAACTTTTGGAAAATTTTCCGGCATAGTGTAAATTTTCCGACGTGCTACCCGTATAATCACATGTGCTACAACTTAGACTTTTTCTTGGTTCTACCAATTTCCAAAAGGAAAGAAGTTTGTTAAGTGTAAATGGGTTTACAAGCTAAAAGACACCACTCATCCATGTAAAAAACCTAGGTATAATGTGAGACTTGTAACTAAAGGCTATAGTCATATCCTAGAAATCGATTACACTGACATTACATTTACTCTTCAGTTGTCAAACACACATCTTGTAACATCTCATTTTCACATCAAAAATTTTCATTTTTAATTAAGGTAAAAACTTCACAATATGGAATTCAAATTAATAAAAATCATTTGTTCCAAAGTACATCGTTAAAAATTAGCGTAATATAGTAAACGGGAAATAACCGTTGATGTTGATGAATGTGTACATTCACGCCTTCACCTTCCCACGATCACCAATGGTAACTAAAAAATATAAGCAACTGGGTAAGAATGAAGCTTAGTGAGTTTCTCCCAAAATACCACACACCATAATACACATACAATGAATGCACGTCGGACCCATAGTCATAAGGACTGGATTGCCCCCGGGTATGTTGGCCTATTGCCTCAACCCAACCACTCATATGAACCTCCATCCCACGACCGGTTCCATTCCCGTTCCTAAGGCTTAGAGTCGGCCTGAACATGGTATCTTGGCCTACAACACAAAGCAGGTGCGCCTCAACCTAACCCACCGTGATATGTCGATATATAATCAAACAAACAATCAAGTAGGCACATAAGCACATGCAAATATCTACATGAATCTACCTGTCGAACAGTTCACTATCGCCTACTAAGCCCATCCCAACACTTTGCACTACTACCGGAAAATCTCTAAGGAATGTATCGATGTATGTAACCATAGGTTAGATAGAAACCCGAACAGATGATCCTACTCTAGAGCCACAACCAAACAAGGAAGAGGCAAGAAAGCCTAGATCAAGAGTTCTCAGGGTATCCTACATGACCACATACAACCCCTAGGGCACTCCACTAGACGATAACCAACCTACTGGTACTCTAACCAACATCCTAACTCACAAGGTAATATATATATATATATATATATATATATATATATATATATAACAGATCACTACAGCACAACAACATCATATACACAAGGATACATAACAAAATCTAGTGGGCCGGCATTGATACCTTCGACCCACGGGAGAGTGAGGAAACTCACCTGAATTGGAAACCCAAGAACACCGCGACACGCTCACTTTCTGCACTGATTGCTCTCGCGAACCTTCTAGCACCAAAACCAGTTAGAATCCTTAATCAACAACCCAAATCCTTTAAGTTTGACCAAAGTCAAACTTGGTCAAAAATTCAACGGTAAAAAAAGCCAAAAGTCATCTTCCAGCCGGTCTACGCCCAACGTAGAGCCTAAGGTGGTGAAATGAGCGAAATCGGAGCTATGCATTGCGTAGCCAGAACTACGCCATGCATAGTATGTTGTTGTCTAAATCCATCCATTAAGTGCTTAATACAGAAGGTTAACCCACCAAACTTTCACAAGTAAACAATATGAACATCTTAATGGATAAAGTTTATGACTTTATCCATTTGCATGCATACAAAGAGCACCAATCCAAACCCTAGGTCCAAAAAGCCTTCTTTTGCTCAAAAGCTCATGCATTGGAGGATGAGAGTGGCCAAGCTCTCATTTTTATGACTTAACAACTCCAAAATCTACTGGAAATGATACCCTAATGGCCTAGAGTAGCTCATACTCATATAAACCATGGTTATGGGTACAAAAGCATGAAATCCTTAAGCATAAGTAGATCTAACATTAAACAACATCAAGGTAGAAGCTTTATACCTTCTAGAGATGGATGAGAGGATGAAACTTCTGGATCTACACTGATTTGACCTCCCAAGTGGGTCCACAATGTTCTTCTTCCTTCACAAATGCACACAAATCACTCTAATGGATCAAAACTTGCAAATGAGAATTAGGGTTTCTAAGGAGGCCATTTGGGAGGATGGAGGCTAAGGATGGAAGGGCCTCAAGGGAGTTAGTGTCTTTAAATAGGGCTCAACCCCCCCCCCCCCCCCAATATTAGGGTTTTGGTTCTGGGCAGCTACGCACTGTGTAGCTCGATCTATGCTTTGCGTAGATCATTTAAGTCTCACGATTAACTTCCCTCCTACGCGTTGGAGACTATCCTACCCCTCGCGTAGGACCAAACTTCCCAACACTTTAAGCTTACAATTAAGGAAAGGATTATACTTGCAAGGACCGGGTGTTACACATCTATACATGGAATATTAGGATTGGTTGCTTCTAGTTATTATAAACTAGAGCAACTTGATGTGACTTCAGCATTCCTAAATTGTAAGATTGAGGAAGATAATGATATAAAAGATTTGATTAATTCATGACTAGTCACAAGATGAAATGTGCGCCTACAACAATTTTGTTTATTACAGGAAATGCAATGATGGATCAATGGTCTATTTACTTTTATACGTTGATGATATGTTAATTATAACAAAATATTATGAAAAGGATTTAAAAGACTAAAGACTGGTTGAATGATGAATTTAATATGAAGGACTTGGGAGTTGTGAAAAAAAATTGGGGAAGAGAAATTGTGCTTCTTGGAAACACAAGCATTTTCGCAACGCACATTAAGCTATCATCCGCTTGAAGTTCTATTACTAACACATGTATTGTGCACCATCGTTGTTGGATCTTTGATATATGTTATGATATGCATATGTCATGATTTGTAATATGCCGTGAGCATGGTTATTAAATACGTGGAGAACCCATGGAAATAGCTTTGGAATGTTGTCAAATGAATTTTTTGTTATTAACGTGGTATATTTTATGTATGCTTACACTATGGTAAAACTAATAATAGGTGTTTTGATATGTAGATTATGATTATGCCAAAGATTTGAACAAGTTAAGAGCATAAATAGGGTACGTGTTCATTTTATGTGGTTATGTTATTCGTTGGAAAATACAATTACAGTCTATTGTTTCATTATTCACTAGGACCACTATTGAAAGCAGAGTATATGGCTATAAAGGAAGTTGTTAAAGAGGTTATTTGGTTGAAAGGTTTGATTGGCCGACTTAATGGCACACACAAGGCCAATATTGTGTATTGGGACAATCAAAGCACAATTTTCCTGACCAAGGATCGAATGTTTCACGATCAAATGAAACATATTACTGTGAATTATCACTTTTTAGGAGAAATTATTGCTAGAGAAAATTTCGTTCATATCAGAACCGATGAAAATCATGTAGATACCTATTCACTATTTAATCCAATTATTACAAAAGGAAAATAACTCTAGAAGTCCTCTCGAAATACCCGTCATGGGCCATAGCCTTTATAAATTGGTGCATGTGCTCATGACAAACAATCTGAACCACTAGACCACATGGCCATAGACTTTCATGACACAGCTATTTGGACCAACAATAGTTGTACCCTTTGCATCAAAACTTGTAAGCCCATGGAGTAAAAAGTAGTGTAAAGAACCCAAATAAGAATATGACCTTTTAGATATACAAAAAGGTGAAAAATCTAAAAGGAATCAATAAAAGAGTAGCAGTACCCCCCACAAACACCCATTCACAGAAGACAGCCTCATTTCAAAAGGCATAAATTCCCCACATACAAAAAGTACAACCAAAAAAATAGGCTATAATGGATTACAACCGATAATCGATTCCCTACTACCACCATACAACTCCATAGATTACAACAGGATTAATCATATAACAAAACACCCTTAGATCAACCTTAACCATAAGATCAAACCCAGAACCAAAAGAGTCAATAAAGTCAAACAGTTGAAAGATTCAGCACCACTGTTGTCTTGTCCCGTAGGGCCCATTCCAAACGGCGGGTTCAACCCAATGCCAGTTCCAGTCCCAGTCCCGGTCCCGGTCCCGGTCCCGGTTCCGGTTCCGGTTCCAGTCCCAGGGGTTCCAGTCCCAGTCCCGGTTCCGGTTCCAGTTCCGGTCCCAGGGGTTCCGGTTCCGGTCCCGGTCCCAGTCCCAGTCCCAGTCCCAGGTGGTGATGAGGTGGTTGGGGTTGTCGAGCTGCAATAATCAAGAATCACAAGAAAATTTAGGAATGGAAGACTTCTAAAAGTAGCGAATTATAGCAAGTAAAAACTTGTAAGAGATTTCAATGTAAATCTTGTGTTTCCATTTTTACCCCTATCGATATCTATACAAAGATAGCAATGTCCTAAAAGGAATTCTAGAGTTACGTCTAAAAACGACTTTTTCCACGTAAATATATAAATCTTTAAAGCATATGATGATAATATGCTCCATCTTTTACAAGATTCAAAACTTTATATTATATGTATAATACCAATGCTAGAATATTTAACAAAAATGATTTTGAAATTTTATCCCGACATACATTCAAGATCAATTTGGTCAATTTCACTAGATTTGATCATTTCAAATTTGTACAAGTTATCTTTTGACCACAAAAGTCAAAGCTGCATTTTCTTTTCTATCACTTTCTTTAGGGGTTATTTCCTACTAGGACAAAAAAAAAGTAGTAATTTTTTTATATTTTATTTGATAATTAATTATTTTAGTAGTAACACAATAAAAAAGAATCAAGTAACTAAGTATTATGAATTTGAAAAAAGATCTTTGACCATGAAAGTCAAATTTGGATTTTTTTTCCTACTATTAATATAATCTTTAGTAGTATAGTTAATACAAAATTATGATATATGATCATTTTGTTCCTGACACAAATTTATTATTTGTAACATTGATTCATATCTCCATTATTGAAAGCATAATGTGACCTAACATGACCTTTGCTTGATATATTGTCATAAAATAGGAAGAAATATGCATATGATATCAACATCTTGACAACTCATGAGTGTACTGAAAAAACAGTACCTAATCTAAATAATACTTTTCTGGATCTACCAAATGATTCCTAAAAGCCAGCTCTAGAAGCATCATACAACTTTCAATGCATGATGTACAAGATATCATTACATATTATTGCACTTATTGCACTTATTATGCATGATGTATAAGTCCTGATAATTCTGAAAATTTCAAATCAAGTGATAGGCCCCTTCAACCACAGACACTAAACAAAAAAGGTGATTACTTTTTCCAAAGAAGAAAGTTACAAAACCAGAGCACTAACTATATAGTAAATTGTACATTATGCATAGAAACTTGTACATATTTATGGATTTTGGAGTTTCTACTCTGGAAAGATGGTTTTCCGAAGAAACATCAAGAAGTGCATCATCACCAAGAAAGATGAGCTTCTTGGAATATGAAATCACACCCTTTAAATATTAGATCAATCAAAAAGTATCCTTTCTTTATATTCACTTTTTTAGTTTAATAAAACAAATTTAAACTCACAAAGACCGGAAAAATGAGATCTTTATGCGATCAAGAAACATACCCACATAACTTAAAAATGAGATCTTTATGCATCAAGAAACATACCCACATAACTTTAATCTCAATCATGGTGAGAAAATGAATAATTTACTAAGAAAATGGAGAAAAGTGCAAGATCTAGTAATAAAGATGCTAAAAAATAGAAGGTTGGGTGGAAGGTTAGAAAGCACACCTTGGGCTACCAGCATAACATACAGAAGTTGCCCCTGTAAATCAAGCAACAAAGCACAACAATAAGGCTGGAGAAAAAAGAGAGATCAAAAAGGCAGAAATAGACAGGAATATAATGTACAACACTCATTGCACAACGCACAAGTCATCATAGAAAATATTTCTTTGTATTTTGAGATTTATGCTCTGAGCAGAAAGAGGAATGTTGTGTGTGCTGTTGGCGAACAACTTTGACTGCGTGAGGCACAAGTCATTAGAGCATTACTTTGGTATGTTTGTTGGTGTACAACTTTTAGTTCATGAGGTACAAGTCACTACAGAAGTATTGATCCATAAACTGGATGGAAGATGAAGAAAGACTTGCCAGGTGGGGCTGTTTGGCTAACGGTAGCTGTGTTTGAGAAATCGCAGCTCCCTGAAACTTCACCTTTCCTTTGGAAATAACTGTTGACAGCGTAATTACAGTGATCCTTGACTGTATTAGGGTTAAAACAAGTAGCACCTTGAAGGATTAGAGTACAATCAGCTCCGTTTCCACAAGCATAATCTATGTTCTTTTGAAGAACTGCGTCACTCAATGCAGAGTTACATACACAATAAGCTGCGCCTGTTGAAAACCGACATAAAAATTGGTTGATTTGAAGGTCGAAAAGCAAATCTAAGAGAAACCCATTTGAGAAGAAGTGGAAAATCGAAAACCCTTTTGAGGAAAAGGTAGGAAACATAAGAGATCTTACTTGAAAAGCCTGCCATGGCCAAGAGAACCACCATGGAAAGTGCAAAAACAGCCATGGTTTGTAGCCAGATGGTGAGGTTGTTGCTTGATTATGACGGATAGTGGTGTTAAAAGTGTTGTTTTCGAACTAGAAATATGCAGAGAGAGAGAGAGAGAGAGAGAGAGAGAGAGGAGAGGAGGGGAGTGGCAAATTTTATTATCCTAGGCAACAGTGGGCCGACGGTGTAGCGGTTGGGTGTTATGTTATGTGTATGTATTTTCTATTAATTAAAAGTAAATTAAGGGATAATAACAAAAAATACCATTTGTTTCTTGAGTATATATCTCCAAACATCGAACATTTTTTTATTTTACAAAAATAACTACCAAATTCAGAATAGGTTGTTTCGGACAAAATCAACAAATCTTACCAATCTGTGTATTTATAAGCCCCTATTTAAAGGGAATTCAAACATTTCATATTTTATTTCGGAACGGTGTCTTTGATCTTTTATAAAATTTCAACTAGACGAACCATAAATTTATACTTGGCTGACTATACGGTAAACCGTGTTTGTTTTACAATTTATAGTTCCGTGATTTGTAGTTAGATAGTCCAAAATATGATGATGCGATGAACAATTCCATAATCCGGAGAACAAGTACGTAATGTCTGTGACTTGTTCGGATAAAATAGGTTTGCATACTGCTCCTTCTTATATTTAGGTTAGTATCTTGTTTAGTAGGGCCTACATCAATTTGTATTTAGCTTAAAGAACCCAAAAATCTCAATTATAGTGTCTAAAACATAAACATTATTCCAGAATCAATGTAAAGAGCAATTCTGAAATGGATTGTTATTTTTTTATTCAATATGTATAATTAGGTTTTAATAAGGTGGATTTAAATTGTCTTGTAGTTAAATATTATTTTTATATAAGTATTAGTGATATTCATACAACCAAATTTGCCTAATCAATCTCACATTTGAAGAAATATACCAAAACATGAACTTGTGTCGTTATAGCACGAAGTCTTTGAAGGTACACCTAATAATTTTACATGGATATTACTTAGAAAATTAGGTTATATAGATGCGGAGATATCTTACCTCCTGAAACTTTCAAAATTAGAGTTACTTCCGGTAAGTGATCTATTATATTCATCTCTAATATAGACATTTTAACTGTCTCATAATATTAGATAATATTCAATTACTATTTACATATAGAAGCGCTGGTTGTGGAAACAAAAACGAAATTCACATCTATAATCCATTACAACCAAATCTAAAAGTAAAAAGGTCTAAGATAATGTTAAAACTCAAACGTAAAGTAGATACAACTCGTAAAAATATGATTGAGATCGAGCCTTATAAAGCTATCATTCCAAAACTCACAATCTCAAAACTTTTGACGTCAAATTCTACCTAACAAATTAATTAACTTTGAATTAATTATAGTCGAAATTTTTTATTCAATTATAATAAGTTAATGTAACGCCCAGGTTTCGGGGCTAAGCATTTTAGATGATGTAATAGTCTAGGTCAACTATTGTAACTCTTTTTGAAGTAATAAAGATGAAATATTTGAATACTATGTGAATTATGTGTATTTGTGTGCTTATAATTTAATTATAAAGGTATAATTAATAAAGAATAATAATAAGCGTCAAAATTAAAGTATGAGATAAGCCCGATACCTTTACATAAAGTTGTAGTGGTCGAAACAAGGATTTCGGGGATATAAAGAACGCCGAAATCCGAGTTATAACGAAGAAGTTATGACCCGTCGAAGTTTCACGACGGAACCGGCGCGACACCGGGAAGCGTAAATAGTGAATTTACGATAGAGCGACTTTTAGCCTTAGCGATCCAAAACGAAAGTCGTAGAATATGTTAAACCGAGAGCGTCCATAAAAAAAACACCCAAATCTGACTTCATATGAGGAAATTATGATTTTTCGAAGTTTCGGCTTAGCAGTGTACAGCCCGAAGTTCGAATATTAGATCGAGCGGTTTTTAGCCGGCACAACCTAAACGAGAATCGAAGATCTCGTTAATAGTAGCATAACAATAAAAAGACAGACGAAAACGGACGTCGGATGAAGAAGTTATGAATTTTTAACGGACCAGTCATGTCTCAGCCTGTTAAAAATATAACTTTTAAAATAAAGTCAAAATTAGCCGACGAAGTCTAAACGAAAGTTGTAGAGTACGTTCCCGCCTACGCGTGGATATAAAGAACGTCGAAAACGGAGCACGTATGCGAAAGATACGAATTTTTGAAATTGAGGGTGCATTTTGCGAAACCTGTTGCGATAGTGATGACATGGCTCGATCTGGGCCGTCCGATGAAGATCATCCTCGCATCCGATGAACGACGCGTCACCCTTCACTACGCCCCGCGTCCGAGGTTGGGTACGCCCAGCGTACCTCGGCCTTATCCCTTCCGAGTCCGGGTGCGAGCCAGCTGTATGCGAGCTGGACCCTATCCGAAGTTACGCCCCGCGTAAGCCAAGGACTACGCCCAGCGTACGTCCGAGGCTGGCGCCTATAAAAGGGTTGCGAAGGCTGCCGAGGAAATCACACCAAAACTCATTCTTTCTCTCACTACTTTCTCTCTCTATGGTTTCTAACCCCCCTCCCCTAAAGCCTAGGTGAACCCCTAGCACCCGAAGGAAGCCCCGAGGCTCCCGGAGTCCCTAGAAAAAGGGGTCTTTCGGTTTGGAAACGCTGCTCCGAGCAAAGCTCGGTTTTTAAGAAAAACCCGCTGTAAGTGAGCTACGCCTACGCAATTTTTAATATAGCTTCTAATTAATTATAGTAACATTATTAGACCTTAAAATAATTATTTGGACTATTATTATGAGTTATATAGAGTGTTGTTTAACACTTATATAATAATAATAATAATAGCTAGACTATTAATTAGTCGCGGTTAACGTTAGACTAAACCCTAGTGGAATTGATACTAGGTTTTGTCGAGGGAAAATTATTTTGAGATAACGAAGCGTTGTTCGAGTACAGAGTCACCACCTTTCAAGTGAGTGCATAGTTACTTTCAGCTTATACATAGATATGAAGTATTTTATATAAATTACGTGTTGTGTGTGCATATTATCTGTATACTTGTTATCTATGCTGGATGAACGATTTTATACATGTTTTAAACCGTATATGTATTTTTTATCTACAAAATGTGTTGGGTAAAACATAGGTAGATGTAATAGTTGATGTGTGACAAAATAAAATAATGAGAGGCCTCGTTATAGATGTTATTGATGATCCAGTCATCTAGCGGAGTATAGATGACGACCACGGACTATTCTAGACAGTCTAGTGGAACGCTAGCAGGCTCGCAACCTGTAGGTGTTTATTTGAATTGTGTGTTGACCAGCAGTACTCCATCCCCCACATGGTTGCCATATTTGACATGAATTGCTGAGGAATCCCCGAAGCATGTGTTGTCACCCCGATGAAAGTCCTTAGACTAGGTCCCTTGTGTTAGATGTTTTAGGGACGTAAAGTGAGGATAACGGGAACGGGTAATCGGGTTTGTTTGGTTTGATAAAGTTAATAAACTTATTTATTGTGGGTTGAAAACCCTATGTGCTCACCAGGCTCCCAAGCCTGACCCACTCAGTTTCTTGTATTACAGGTAGTGGCGCATGAGCATAGATGTTTGGATGAGAGATAAGGGATTATAGGCCTGTAAATACGAAATAATGTAGTAAGGCTTATGTTGTACTGTTTATGCTTTTGATCTGTATCGAACATGACATCCCGAGTCTTTTAATGAAATACATTTCTTTGGAAATGCTTTTGATAAATCTTTATCATATTTTGTTTTGGGACAAATTACGCAACACTTTTATTTAAAATGTTACTCTGATTTTCAAACAAGCATAAACAAAATCGGTCTTTTCTGGCCGTGAAAATGGGGATGTCACAGTTAACTTTGTTAGTTTTAGGGAATCGAAATAAAAATATGTAAACTTGGATAATTTTTAGGATCGTGCTTTTCAAACACTTTTCAAAATCTATAATTCGTCCCTTTTTGTCTAGGGTACATGAATTCAGAAGTGTGATAATCCAATAACAAAAACCAATTCGAATTACATGGCTAATTCGAATTGAAAAACACAAAATACATTTGTTTGATGTGTTCTTGAGAGAGAGAGTGAATTTGATGAACAATTTTCGAGTATATAAAAATGTAGCCCCTTTTGTGGAACATGTAATATGTTCTTATACAAGATGGAAAGGTAGTTAATGGTGGTTACATGCAGTTTTGGCGCGAAAATGGTGGTTGAACATATAGTTATTTAGACATAACCGAATCTGACATCATCATTATGTCGCAACCTATTTTTGGCGAGAATTTGCATAGCTGGACTCCTTCATGATATAGAAACTCATTTAAGTTTCAAGGCGCTTCCCCAAGCCCTGCAAGGGTGCTGCCCCTTGGACCCTGTACCCAGGGGCGCTGCCCCCCGGACCCCCATATCCCGAGCTCACATTTATCACTCCGAGTGTGCACCCCGCACCTCTAACCTCGGTGAGTTAAATAGAGCTCAGCTGATCTCAATATTAATAATAACTACACTAAAACATGTTGATAACACTAAAAATCACCAACATTCTTCCACCATTTTAGTGTAATCTTTAATTAACTAAAAGTAAAGACAAAACAACCTCATGCACAAATGAAAATATCTTGAAGATTGAATTTTCACATTAGTATAATACACATTTCAAATACTCGAGAATTAGGGTGTCCTAAGGATTGAACCCTTCAACTCATTTGAGTAACTGAAGATACTATACACATAAGTTAAACACAATATCTAATGTTTCATATTAGACACTATTACATTTATGTGTCCCTATCCCATTCATGAGTGCATAAAAGCCTAGCCGAAGCTTTCTGAAGCGGCAACACTTCACACTCATATAGGTAGTCCTTCTATATCATGCACCTGTTAATGCACTTTTTCAAAAGAAACTATTAAGAACTTAATCAACCTACTTTAACTCTACAGGTTATAAGCACATACCTAGGGATGAAAACATAAT